TGAACAGGACAAGCAAATTGGTCGACCGTCAGCCGTCCACCGGAGTGATGGACCGGCGGGTCGCGGCCGTCCAACCTGTCTCTGTTTTGGCCCGTTCTTTTCCTGATTCTCAGCTGTTGACCTGCTTTCCAGCCTCTCCAATCGTTGGTCAACCTTATCCAGGTGGGCCAACAGTTGAGCCATCATGGTTTCCACCGTGCCGGTCCCCGTGGGTGGGGATTGTTTCTGTTCCGGCACCGAGACTTTGTCCACCGAACAGTTCGATTGGTCCTCATCCTCGGACCTGCGGATCGCTGAGTTCCTGACCTGAAGGAAGGTCAACTGCGGGTCTTTGTGGACCTCCTCTTTCAACTCTCTCCTTAAGATCGGGGTTGCTGGCCCCTCGATGAAATGGTCCCTCAGTAGGCGTGCATCAATGTCAGGTGTTTTGCCCTTTACCGAATCAAAGGCCCTGTTTATTCGGTGTGAATACTCCATCACACTCTCCGCCATTCTCTGCTTTAAGCCTACGAACCCCGATAGCAGTTGCGATCCCGACCGTCTCTCCCCAAAGGTCTCCATAATTAGATCCAGCACCTTATCTGGATCTGATTGGACGGTTTTATCGTGGCATTTGACCTCTGCCCTAACCGTCTCTCCTATACTGCCCATCAGCAGTCTTAATCTTTCCTCTGGTGACATGTTTCTCGAGGCCCAGGCCGCTTTGACCTCTTCACTGAACCTGTTGGTTAAAGTTGGATCACCGTCCCCGTAAAATTTGTTAATGTGGGACTCTCTGGGCAGGACCACAATATGGGTCTGCTTCTCGTCCAGAGTAGACATTTTATTCCTTTAGTAAAAAAAAAAGAGTTCTTTCTTACCGTGTGTGTATGAAAATTTTTTTCCTCGTTCCTCAATTTTCACTGTTCCTGAATGTCCGAATTCACACACACACTAAACACAGTTATGAACTAGGTTGACTATGGGTGCCAAACGCGGCAAGTCTCGTTGAATTCATCCTGTCCGCAGCGCCAAATGTAACGAGTCCCCGAGTCTATCCTGCCGACAACGCCAAATGTAACGAGTCTCTGACTACCCTGCTCGCAGCGCCAAATGTAACGAGACTTATCCTGCTCGCAGAGCCAAATGTGACCTTCCCGAGTCTAACCACTCATTCCACACAACATTGACCACAGCATAGATACTCGAAGATGCAGGTTCATTATTGATCCTTTTATTACATGAATCAAAGAATGTTTCACAATAATATATTGAATCAAGAGAGATGTTTCACAATAATAGTCTGAATCAACGGACCCCCAACAGTCCTCACTAGGCTTCATCTAACTGAATACACATGTCTAACGTCCTTCTTAACACAATATAACCAACTGGATACTGCCACACATATTCACTGAGAGAGAGAGACTGACGGACTGACTGACAGACCTTCTGAGAGACAGACCGACTTTCTGAGACCTTCTGAGAGACAGACCGACTTTCTGAGACCTTCTGAGACCTCGAGCTCAGCCGTCGCCTTCCTTATATCCCCTTCATAATCGTACTCATATTCGGTCCTATCATAATCGTAATTGTAATCGATTCTAATCGTTACATCAGACTGTTAATTACGCCGCTTCTGTCGTACAGTCCGATTTTAATAAGCCACCTGCATCCTGTCACATCAAAGTTGACAGACCGTCTTTCGTATCGCTTCCCGAGATATTACGCCTTGGCATCAGCCAACACCTGCACTGTGACGTCAGACTGTAACACGTTATGTCTCTTGGTAACTTCCCCTAGTTACATATATATAGGCCTATATATAGGCCTATAGCATATTGATAATGGTAGGACCAGACGTTGGCACGAAATATATTTGCCGGACTGCCCTTTCTCGAAGGTAGTTTTCCGTAACGACGATTGCCCAAAAACAATAAGATCAAAATCACTAGGTACATCATTATAAGGATAAGCTTCTTTTCACTCTTTATTTGTGTACATTTTCATTTTTAACTATTATACTTTAAAACGTTTCATGCCCCCACAATTACTAGTCCTCGCCTCCCCTAGCCTCCCCCATTGGACGCCACCGGTTTGCGTGTGTCTTCACTATAGAGTCTTCGTGTATGAGAAATGATTTTTTCCATAATATTTGAGCTAACAGTCTTTGGTCTTCATTTATAAGTAGCGTAGCGAGGGGGGGGGGGCGTGGGGGGACATATGTCCCCGGGCGCCGACCTTAGGAGGGCCAAAATGGGTTGGAAAAATAAATTGAAAGGTTGAGGGGTGGGGTGCAAATCGAAATCTTGAGGGGGGTGCAAATCGAAAGTTGGTCCCCGGGCGCCGGGAAGGGTCGCTACGCCTCTGTCATTTACAAGGCCAAGCTTTCTCAGTTTGAGGTGCTCAAAGTCTTCCGCCCCAACACTAGCCCACACTCCTCTACCTCCCCCCCTCCCCCACACATTGGAAAAAGAAACAAAAACCATGTCACAAATAACCTTCTAGTATTTATTCTTATATCCATCTTTAAATCAACTTAAACATGTGTACATCTTACCCCTCGCTTCATGTGATTTCACTACACAAAAACGTCTTTAAAATGTTGTTTAATGTTTGTTCTTACTATAATCATATTGATGCTAGCGAGTATTTATTTCTTTGTCTACGTTTCGGATCATGAGCATAATAGAATAATAGCCTATATAGGGCCTAACACCATCCGAATCGTGGACATAGTAGCCTATATGACGTCATCAGGACAAAACAATGAACGGCTCCACCCACCGTTTTGTTGAACGTGAGACGGTCTGAGTAAACTCAGCTCTAATGGGTACCTGATTCATTTAGGGAGAGCTAAAGGCGACTGGGATTACAAATTGACCATACTGTGAATTCATTCATAGCAATATTAACAGAGAGTGATATTTCAACGCCAAGGGTAGACAAAGGTACAGAAAATAGTCCAAGTAAAGACAAGCAGTCAGACGTCAACGGGTTTCGAACCTACCATTCCACACGGCACCTATCGCCATCGCCTTCCATGCATCAAGTCAGACGTGTAACCGCTTCTACCACTAGGTCCTACTAAAATAAGGCTTTCGTGGCAGACCACTCTCTTGGCTTGTGCAGGTAGACGCGGGACGGCTTTGACCCTTGACCCGAAAGGTCAGACCGCTAGCTTTCATAAACACAACAAGGACCATTATTCGACCATACAAACGACACACACACAAATACCGAGACGATGGCACAGACAAATAGTAGCTTCCTTTAAATGGGTGTAAACGTGTAGGGGGGTGGAAGCAGGCGTTGTAACTGAAATAGCAATATATACAGAGAGTGATATTTCAACGCCACGAATTCATTCATATGACAATGCCACAAAAGGCAACTGAATTTTTTATTAAACTTTTTTTTTTTGGTAATATAATATGTGCACAACTATTACTGTTTTAGGCAATCAAATTTGGTATAATATGTTCAAACCTTTGTTAAAAATATGTTAAGAAATATGTAAAAACAGTTATTTGACCAATAATATTAAAGTTAAGTAAAAAAAAACTGTTAAGAAGTAATATTTAGGTAGGTTAATTAACACTGTTTAGTAATTTAAAAAATACCCAACTATCTAGCAATAAAATGTCATTGATGCGTCTCCCTGATAATTTCCGGTGTCCACTTCATCGTGCATAGAATGGCGCAAATCTGACCAATTCCCAGGATCAGCCAGACCACGTGTGAGTTAACCTAGCCTGCAGACACGCACGTGACCACACGCGCAACACACACGCCTTACTCACCTCGGCGGCCCGTCCCCGGGCCCTCAAGTTGGAACTGTCTCTTTAACTAAGATGGGGGCTTGGGAGTGGGCGTGGACTTGGACCGGAAACTGTTAACAGGCCAGCAGCTTTACTCAAAGACAGAACAAATTCTCTGTAAGCCGCTCTACAAAGAGCTTTGCATTAACGACGCGGCTCTCTTGCGGTGCCCGGAGCGGGTATTTGGCGACAGATAATTAGCATTCGCAGTTGGCCGCGACGTCCAGCCTTGTTCTGCAAGTCTTGGTGTCAAGTGCAGCCCCAGACCCGTCCTGTGCCGCATTCAAAGACAGGCGGAATTCGGCTACGGCGGTTCCAGACGTGGCACGGATTGTATCGAAATCTGGGGCCAAACAACTGACCCTCAGAATAAGCTGGGGGTGGGGGTGAGGGTATGAAGAGGATGCCCCAACCACTTTTTAAACCCCTACCCCCCCCCCCCACTACCCAGCCACTTGGATTATTGACAGTATTTAATGACCACCGTTTACAGTTAAACCAACAAATTGACGCTAGCTAGCGAGACTAAACAGTGAATTGTCTCCGTTTTGTTTGTATACATTCATGTCACTTTCTTCAGATACTGTCCAGTTGATTTCTATGAGATGATGTGCATTTTCATTTCTGTCGTTGATTTCTATGCGATGATGTAAAATCTGCATTTGCGTAGACAAACGGCCGCGCTATTTCTGTTCAAGTTTCCTGATGTACTGTTATGTCAGCACGAACAATGGCGGATCTATGTGTTAGATAAATCACTAGGACGAGACGAGATTTAGTACTGAATTCAAGACTGTTGTGGAATTAAGACATTATCTACAGCTTTAAGATATATGTAGCGACAATATATCCACAGATTTAGGAATTCTATATTTTCTATAACATTAAGATAGTATTTATAGATACAAGACTTGCGGACACTAATCACCAAAGTGACAGAAAATGTATTTATAGCTACAAGCGGGCACTATCAACCAAATATCTAGAAAATGTATTTATAGCTACAAGCGGGCACCTTCTACTAAAGATTTAGAAACTGTCAATACCTACAATACTTGCGGCACTACCAACCAAAGTGACATAAACTGTATCTATAGCTACAATACTTGCCGGCACTACCAGCCAAAGTGACAGAAACTGTATCTATAGCTACAATACTTGTGGGCACTACCAACCAAAGTGACAGAAACTGCTCCAGACATGTCTGGTTATCACGAGAGCTTCTGCCATCTTTTAGAACTGGATGGAGGGATGGATGGTCATCTAGAGCGAGGGATGGATGGTCAGCTTGAACGCGCGATAGATGGTCATCTAGAGCGAGGAGGGATAGATGGTCAGCACTGCGTTAACGACGAGGAGTGTTTGGAGATCGGCGCGGCTGATAATTCAAGCATGTACGTAGAGTGTTTATTTTTTATTCCTCGCTAAAACTGTGCACGATATACTGGTCTCAAACCAGAAATTATAGCCTCTACTTTAATACTTTTTTTCTCTTGAACTAAACGTTGGTAAATCCATCATTCCACCAAAGTTGAGTTTAGCCGACAGCTTTAAAAAATAGAATTGAACTTTTTGGGGAGTTAGTAGCTATTATATTTATCAAATTATAGAGAGAATCGCAGAGCTTACAAAAAATAATATAGGCTACTAAACGCCAATCACACAAAAATGTACCAACTTCAGGGCTAAGCATTCAATCCTCAAAACAAGTCGTTGGGTGGTGTTAACATCAGCTGTCATCGCCTCTTGCTCATACACTGTTCGATTAAGTGAATTTTCCCCCTCAAAATAATAAGCATCTTTTTAGCCAATGATGTAATTAATTATATTTTAAACATCCCTTCCCACGTTTTTCATCGTCATACATGTGTGGCTCCTTTCACCTCGTGAGGCTATTAATGCCTTGTAAAAAGAAAGATGGATTATTCTACAGAATTATTTTTTAAATAATAAAATATTCAGCTTAAAAGTCGTTTTAAATCCAACGTCAAACGGGTGGCTTAGAAGCTTGACTCGTTTTAAGAACAAACAGCAATACGCATCACTCCTCCAAAGACATCAGCTGTCATCGCTTCATGCTCACACATTGTTTATTTAGGCTTGAATACATTTTTTTCTTTAAAGATTACAGCTTTTAGTTTTGCCACCACCCGTATCTTTATGAATAATCTCTACAAAAAATTACCACAACCCATAAATCATATTCATGGCGCTACGGGTGGGAGAGGGTGTGGAAAAAGGGGGTGGGGGGTGGGACACCACTTTCCTCTCCCCTCCCCCCAAGAAACACTAGCTAAGATAGACCTGGAAGATTGAACGTCATTTGGGCTTGCAGCTTCAAAACGGCCCGTGACAAATCTAGAGACTCCCGTAATTTAGACTCCCAAAAAATGGGCTCCTGTCATTTGGCGTGTCGACAAAACGACTCCCATTATTACGTCTTCCGACAAATAGGCTTCCATCATTTCACGTTTCAACAAAAAGGACCCCGTCAAAACAATTCCAAAAAGATGGTCCCCTGTCAATACTAGACTAAAACGAGCTATTGGCCTCTTGTTCTACTTCATTTGGTATTCTCCCTTTGCTTGCAAAATATGTTTTCAAACGCCCACGTCATAGTCGCTTGGAGCCTATTGTTCACAAAATAAGGGCATGCTGCAGCATCCACCGCTGCATTGTTTTGTGACCGTTCCGTCTTGTTGCACGTGGACGGATTTTGTTCGTGGGTCGCTACGCCTCTGATATTTTGGCCCTTTTGTGGAGGCGATTTTGTCAGGGTCATTTTGCCGGTGGCCGTTGTGTCACGGGCCCTTTTTTAACGGTGCACTTCGTGTGGTTGGTGGGTTGGATTAATGGCTACGTATATGCCAAATGTGGTCCTACGATTCATTTGTCTGGTACCAGAATGTCGGGAGTAAAAATGTCTTGACCCAATATACCGGGAGCTATTATGTCGTGATCCCATTTATCGGAGGCCTATATGTCAGGAGCCCATTTTTTGGGAACCTATTAGTCGTGAGTCTATATGCCAAGAGCCCATTTTCGGGAACCTATTAGTCGTGAGTCTATTTGCAAGGAGCCCATTTTTCGGGAACCTATGTATCGTGAGTCTATAAGTCAAGAGCCCATTTTCAGGAAACTATGAATCGTGAGTCTCTATGTCCGAAGTCCACTTGACGGGCTCCAATATATCGGGGCTGTTTTGACCGAGTCATTTCGCTAGCGCGGTGATTTTGTCACGGGTCGATCTGGCTGTGAACTGCTTTTTGGGAATCTGTCTTTGGCTGTTCGTTACTGGCATTCAAAGATTTGGTAAATTAGACTTGGCTACGGTATTTATTGTAATTTTCAGATGATTTGAGAGCAAAGTTTGTTGTTTACATCGTCTTTTTATTCTAGCTCTGCCGACGAACTTCCATCTTGTGCGTATGCAACAAAGCGAGATCGATACCACCAGTATCACAAACACACCAGCTGCAGTATCGCACCCTCCAACGATTACCCTATACCAGATGACCAGGTACAACATGAGTATTCTACGATACCCCAGGATCGAACACTTTTAGCTTCAGACGACAACTACGAGTACTACGGACCCGGAAACTCTCTTGGATATCACGATAATAACGGTAATCGATTTTAGTAGTCGACTGTCTATAGAAGTGGGTAAACTTTGATGATGGTCGTCAGAAGCCTAAGCACATATTTTAGGAACAGTTTATTCCAGTCCACAATGTGAATAAAAATAATATACCCAAATAACTCGAATAACGTTAATATGGATTAAGATGCTGGGACGTGCAGATTTTTTTTTCTTCAGATTTTATAACTAGTTTTTTTGTAGCATGTTTATATGTTTATATGCATGTATTGAAAAATCTATATATATAATTCTCTTCTGGGAGACTTTAGAAAACAAGCTGCAAGCTCGCCTTGCAGTCCTCTCTCTTCCTCTCTATCACTACCACCCCCCCCCCACATGGTCTGGTGAGCTGTGGTCACGCTAATGTTTACAAGTAGAGCCGGGTTTAGTGACGGCTATTAGGGGCAGATAATTTAGTTTGAAACGATTTTAAACTAAGAGGAGGTAACTAAGAGGAGGCTGGTTTCACGGGGGGGGGGGGGGGGTGTAGGGTAGGGGTTGGGCAGCATTGGTACTGTCGAATTCACATTTAGAAATATATTTTAGTTTGAAGAGATAGATAGAGGCGTAGCGGCCCTTCCCGGCGCCCGGGGACAAACTTTCGTTTTACCCCCCCCCCCCCCTCAAACTTTCGATTTGCACCCCCCCCTCAAACTTTCGATTACTTTTTCCAGCCCATTTTAGCGCCCCCTAAGGTCGGCGCCCGGGGACATATGTCCCCCCCCCTGCCCCCCCCCCCCCCCATCGCTACGCCTCTGGAAATAGAAACAGAAATAGGTTGTAAAATAACTGCAAACAACTTATCTATTTAACATTTTGAAGCGTAAATGATTTTATCTAATAGAATTTGAGTTTCTGATTAAGATTTTTTATTATTAGGCCTACATAAGTGAAACTTTAAAAGATTTAATTAAAGGATTAAAAACATTAATGTGTTGTGTTCATTGTTTTTGTTTTGTGTTTTGTATTTTGTTTTATTTATGTGTTGCGTTATTTTGTGTTTTGTTTTGTATTTCATCTTTCTTTTCTACTCTTCAAAAAGTTTTTAAAATTTTACATCATATCGAACAATACTATGCAGCCAATATTTCTTTCGTACATTTTTCTCCGGGCGGGGCATTTCAAAAACTAAAACTGTGTTGGAGGCGTTTTAATTTTTCGGGGGGGGGGGGGGTACATTGTCTCTACAATACCATGTTAAAAGTAACTACCTTCCTTTCACAGGTCAATAATTTTGTAAAAGATGGCTACCCCTCTCCACAGGTCAATAATTTTGTAAAAGATGGCTACCCCTCTCCACAGGTCAATAATTTTGTAAAATATGGCTACCCTTCTCCACAGGTCAATAATTTTGTAAAATATGGCAACCCTTCTCCACAGGTCAATAATTTTGTAAAGTATGGCAACCCTTCTCCACAGGTCAATAATTTTGTAAAGTATGGCAACCCTTCTCCACAGGTCAATAATTTTGTAAAGTATGGCAACCCTTCTCCACGGGTCAATAATTTTGTAAAGTATGGCAACCCTTCTCCACAGGTCAATAATTTTGTAAAATATGGCTACCCTTCTCCACGGGTCAATAATTTTGTAAAGTATGGCAACCCTTCTCCACAGGTCAATAATTTTGTAAAGTATGGCAACCCTTCTCCACGGGTCAATAATTTTGTAAAGTATGGCAACCCTTCTCCACAGGTCAATAATTTTGTAAAAGATGGCTACACTTCTCCACAGGTCAATAATTTTGTAAAGTATGGCAACCCTTCTCCACAGGTCAATAATTTTGTAAAGTATGGCAACCCTTCTCCACAGGTCAATAATTTTGTAAAATATGGCTACCCTTCTCCACAGGTCAATAATTTTGTAAAGTATGGCAACCCTTCTCCACAGGTCAATAATTTTGTAAAGTATGGCAACCCTTCTCCACAGGTCAATAATTTTGTAAAATATGGCAACCCTTCTCCACAGGTCAATAATTTTGTAAAGTATGGCTACCCTTCTCCACAGGTCAATAATTTTGTAAAGTATGGCTACCCTTCTCCACAGGTCAATACCCGGGTAGCTGTGTCTACCAGTACGGGGTGCCCCGGGCCGCCGCGAACGTCCGGGAGAGAAAGCGAATGATGAGCATCAACGGAGCATTCGAGGAGCTGCGTCTGCACGTGCCCACCTTCCCGTTTGAGAAGCGCTTGTCCAAGATCGACACGCTGCGGCTGGCCATCGCCTACATCGCGCTGCTCAGGGATATACTGGTCTCGGGTTCGGATCCCCTGGAGTTTGTTGAGGCCAGCATGCACCGCAGGGACGACAACACGTCAGAGTGGAACACAAGCGGTAAGGCCGGGCGGAGGGGGGGGGGGGTATGGGGGTGTGGTAGGTAACTTAAATACAGTTGGTACAAGGGACGGACTGGTCGGATGGTAGCGCGCTCGATTGCTAACCCGAAAATGAGTTCGGATCTTAGACACGAATCGTTAATACGTCACCCAGTCCTCCCAGCTCTAATGGGTACCTGACTCAGCTTAGGGAACGTAGAGGCAACTGGGGATAGTGTTGCCAACACTATCCCTTCTTATGCCGAGGTCACCGAACTACTTCACCTGACTAGGTTCTAAAGCGTCCTTCATTTTTGGTGCAGTTGGTAACGATTTTTAGATAGTTTAAGGGCTATTGGTTTAGTTTCTAGTTTAGCTTAAGTTATCTGTCTTCCGCATCTTTCAAAAGTTTGTTTAGGTCAAAAGACTGTAACTTACCAAACGTTTTCTCCCCAGATCTGATGTCGCGTCTCTCATGGGTTCGATGGGAGAACCTACGCTGAGTGCCGCGGATGAACTTGTTTAAAAATAACTTTTCAAAGTGGCACGTGACAGCTAATTATAGCACAAAGATGGTGTGGTTGTTATTCCGACTGGCTGCTCACGTTTTCTGTTCCTGGTCTGTCCAATGTTGTCAGAGAATTGGAAGCAGACGTTCAAGGATACAAGAACTAGAGGAAAACCTGAACAAAATGTTTAGAATTGCTTCCTACAGTTATCCTTGGGAAGTGGTGTAGGGGGGGGGGGGGAGAGAGAGGAGGGGTGTTGTGCGCATTTGTGTTTTTAAGGTGATTAAAACCATCCTTGAACTTCCGAAATAAAAAAAAATCTCACGTTAAATTACAGCTGTTAACGATTATTCACAAGATTCGCTATATTTTATAATTTCATAAAATCACATGGTTATTATGTGAGTAAATACCCCCCCCTCTCCCAAATGACTCAATTCTGCCTGCGCCCCTGTTCATGGTCATGTGACTAGTTTTTCCAAATTTTGGCTTTTACTTGTAGGCCTGTGTTGTTGATGACAGTTATTTCGTTGAATTAACTCATTAAACCAGAAAGGAAGGGAGGTTATCGTCTGGACATGAGTGGTGTTGACATGCATCCACTCCTACTGTTTCTGACATCGTTTTAAGGGGCTGGAACTGTTTTGGATTTCAGTGTTACAGTTTACTGTAAGCATTTCATTGTCACGATTGGACAATAATCTTTTGGCTTTATTTTAAAAACTTTTTAGTAATTTCACGACGTCCGCGATTTTAAAAATTAATTTGACGCACTTCTAAATCAATCGCAGTAATTAAAGTAATTTCATTAAAAATTTCCATATACATTCATAAGAAAGAAAAAAATATATCACATTTTAATATAATTACATATTAATTAACTGATTAAAACGTAGTTTAAAGGTTATATTAAATAACAAAAGGGGAGGTAACATCTAAGCACTTGTGAACCTCCCTGAATAGGTTACGGCGTAGAAATGTTGGTCACGGGTTGTACGTTTCACGCCTCGCCTGAGATTCGACAATGAACATTGAGATTAGGCAAATCATAATTTTTCTGCAGTATATATCGCAAGCTACTGATTGGGTTTTGAAGCAAATATTTTTAGCTGCATGTGGTGCCGGAATGAAAAACTTAAATTATAGCATGTAATTTTCATTTTTAAAATTCATTATTACCAACAAAAAAAAAAAAAAAACAACATAAGACAAGAAAAAAAAATGTAATCAGCGTTTTTTCTTACACTGAAAATTAAAAATTCCCACTTTATTAAAACATTTTAACAGCCATGCTTATACCAAAGAAAGCAAGTTTGTTTTTTATTGTGTGCATTTAAAAGCCGTTTAAAAAAAAGTTTTCTTCACTGGCAAGTCTACATGCTGGTTTATTATCTTTTTTTTTGTATATCATGACTGTGTTGGTTTAAAGTTACTGAGCACAAGTTGTTCTGTATGTTGAGAGGAAGCCATATAATCTTTTAACAGATAAATAAACTGCTGGCTCAACATACTTCAAGATTACCTCTTAAATAGTCACAGCCCATTCACACAACAAACAAACACGAAATGTAACAAACAAATAAAAACAACAAATTCTACAAAAATATAAAAATAAAATATAACAAACACTAAATGTTGGAAAACTTTTTTATTAGTTAAACAAAAGAATCAGATGCTACAAGCAAACATACAACAAGCTTTAATCATAAAATCCTTATCTAAACTTCTACATGTTGCATGTTGGTAGAGGCTGGGACTGATTGTTCTATATTAGCTTGCTTGTTGGAATCTAACTGATAACATAAAGTCACACTTTTACCCTGTTGTACAGATGGACCTACAGAAGCTGTAGCTAAATATATAAGTACACCGAGCACAATAATCACTACACAACATCTAAATACTAAAAGAGAATTAATGAAGGTTGAAATTGCCTTATAATGAAAGCCAAACAGTTGTAAAAAAATGTACCTTCTTTCTTACAGGTTTCATGAAGTAAATTTGGTATAATCAAAATAAAAAATCAGGGTGAAAAGAAGTTTAAAAATACACAAATTATAAATATTTTAATACTTAATATAGAACAAAAATATTAATCAATTTAATACATGAAAAGCATGATATAAATGATTGTAAAAAAAAAAATAAAAAAAAAACTGGAATGTATAATATTGCACATAATTATTGCCAAAAAATAATGGTCCAAATAAAAATGCCTAAATCTATGGCAACATTTAATAAATAAATCACAGTGTTGTGAAAAAAAATCAGGCATTGATATGTCCTGTGTATAAAAAATGGACTAAAACAAATATATTACACATGGTATAACTATTTGATGTAGCACATCTACAATGGTAATGTTTGCATGTTGCAACAGACAAACACCAATGTGTACACCAATATATGGAACACATATGTCTACTTAGTTCTTGCATGTAAGATATTCAAAGTACACATTCTACATCAAACATAATATACATCAGTCAAGTCCACAGGCCAACATACAGGGAGTATTGGTCATCATATTGCCCACAAGCACCATGCAAAATGACTGTAGAGTCACAAGTCATGGATGGGCTAACTTGTTGGATCAGAAGAGATCTCTAGCACTGCAACTTAGTAGCAGTCACAACAAATATCTCTCTACATCCACTCTTACGGATTAACATTTTTCTAACTCAGTACACAACTTGCAATGAAACTCACTTTTAAATTGAAAAATTGTAACATTTTAGTCATGCTTAAAGCAAAAATTAAATAAGTAATTAAAAAATGCGACATTTAATTAAGATATAGAATTATATTGCACAAACTCTAAACAAAACTTGTTTTTATTGGTGTAAATCTAAATGTAAGCAAGCTTTGGTATGCATCAGATGAAAGCACATAGAAAAAAATTATTGAGCCGGTCTATCAGAGGTAGAAGTTGATCTCCATTGTAGCCAGGTGTTGGAAAATCTGCTTCAGCTTGGGGAAACTTGCCTCGTTGTAGTTGGCCACTATTTCGTCCACGTCTTCGCAGCATTTTTTTTCCAGTTCCCGCAGCTGGGCCAGCACGCAGTGACCTTTCTCCTCCTGTGTGTCCATGAGGTTACAGAGTTTCTTGTGACCCCGGTACAAGGCGTGACCCTTCTCTGCCTGCTCGGTGCCAGCTTCACTTGGGGGAGACACGGTGACGTCACCCACGGCAGCGCCAGGGCCGAAGAAGAATGGCTTGTAGATGGAGGTGGCTGGGTTAGGAGTGCCAGTGAACCAGTGGACGCTGGGTGCCAGGGCAGAGGGAGGAAGTAGGACAGACACCTGGCTGCCAGCGGTGATAAAGCCTCCGTCCATCATGCAAATACCTCCGTCTTCATCTCGCAGGATTTTGAACATGTCTTGGTAGCCAAATTTACCTGAGTAACAGAATTTGGTGATTAGCAGACAGAACAACAGGGGTTGATGACAGCACAGCAGGGGTTGATGACAGCACAGCAGGGGTTGATGACAGCACAGCAGGGGTTGATGACAGTACAACAGGGGTTAAGGGACAGCACAGCAGGGGTTGATGACAGCACAGCAGGGGTTGATGACAGCACAACAGAGGTTGATGACAGTACAACAGGGGTTGATGACAGCACAACAGGGGTTAAGGGACAGCACAGCAGGGGTTGATGACAGCACAGCAGGGGTTGATGACAGCACAACAGAGGTTGATGACAGTACAACAGGGGTTGATGACAGCACAACAGGGGTTAAGGGACAGCACAGCAGGGGTTGATGACAGCACAGCAGGGGTTGATGACAGCACAGCAGGGGTTGATGACAGCACAGCAGGGGTTGATGACAAAACAACAGGGGTTGATGACAGCACAGCAGGGGTTAAGGGACAGTACAATAGGGGTTGATGACAGCACAGCAGGGGTTGATGACAGCACAGCAGGGGTTGATGACAGCACAGCAGGGGTTGATGACAGCACAGCAGGGGTTGATGACAGCACAGCAGGGGTTGATGACAGCACAGCAGGGGTTGATGACAGCACAGCAGGGGTTGATGCCAGCACAACAGTCACAATAATGTCAACTTAGTTTTTAAGTCAGCCACAAAATTTTCTTTATTCAATAAAGACTTTTAATTTAAAAAATTAAAAAAAAAAAGCTAATTTATTGATTTTAATTTTGCATTTGTATAATTAGAAAAAGCAATATCTACCTGTGTTTGCAGCCTTTTCCATGAGCTCCCTCCCATGTCGGAATCTGAAACAAGTGCTGTTGGCCATGTCATGTGCTGACAAGGACTGAGAACAGAAAGTTGTCTTGAAGTCAAACGGCCCCATGTCTTCAGTGTACAGACCTAAACTTTTGGCTTCTTCTATTAAGTTAGGAGAGGTCAGGTCCATTTTGGTTCTTATGCTTAATTCATTGGAACAGTTTCTGTAGCCCTCTGTAAGAAAACATGGTGTTGTAGTTTGTACATTTGTTTTAGCTAAGGTAATACAATATGTAATATTATAACAGTTAAATGTATATGAATGTATGTTGCGAGTATGTGTCAGAAAAAGGCGAGATAAATATAAAATATAGTGTGGGTGTACGCATACGCGAGAGGAAGGGAAGAGAGAGATAGGCGCGGAAAAAAGATGGCGAAGTCTGGAGGTGATCACGATGCTTGTATGAACCAATAAAATATGAAATTTGCAGAAACAAGGCTTGATTTTTGGTTTTGTGTGTGTGTTATAGAAAGGTAGGAGAAAAGCCTGTGACAAATATGTATGACAGAAAGTAAACAGAGTAAGGAATGCACCATGTGCTAACACTGTAGACACCAGGTTGGGGTAGTATGACTCTGCTAGCTGTTTCTCTGATAACTAACAAAATCAAGAAAGCAAATGTTTGATCACCTGTGTCAGGCAGTTTGAATGTCTCTGATTTCTAATGAACATCTCAATCTAATCCACATGATGTTTCAACAAAACAAAACCAATGTATTGCTTGAATAAGCTAAACAGCAGCATCAATTCACTTAAATGCACTCTATAGGATTATCCATTACTATTGTAACCCTCACTCAGTGGGGATGCTTTTACCCACTGAGGTGTTGTGGTTTAAGACGGGCTGACCCTGAGATTCAGTACACACCGACACCGACAGTTGTTGTCCAGTACTCGTTTATTTACAGCATCGAGCCATGACGGCGATGCAACACAGTAGTACAAACGAACTAGCCAAGATAGACCAAAAGATCCAAACAATCCAAAAGACCAAAAGATCAAAAGATCAAAATAGAAAAAGAACTGTAGCCCTAAAACAAATGTAAAATAAAAAAGTTACATTCAGGACAACACCACGTGTAAGCTACAATATACACGGGTACAATAAATTATGTTTTCGGCCAGTACACAGTACTGCCAACAAGTACCAATAAGTAGTACTACAAAATAAATACTTAATTTAATACATCACCCTAACTAGTGTGCACATGCAGCACTAGCAGGAATACATAAGTAAGTATTTTAACAAACATAATTTAAATATCTACACTACCTTCATTAGGTCTACATCTTGGTCCACAGACAGCAGCCTTGCGTGTGCGACACGGCTAGGCACATGTCACATGACATGGAACACAGGTAATTTCGCTCACAAAAGCATAAAAAAACGTCAACAGTTCAGTTGCAGTCCCACAGGGGCCGCAACCCAATGAATAAAAACTTCATAGTTTTATCCCCCTTTGGCTGGTAACCATATGTGTTACACTATAATAAGAAACCCTCAGATAAAATTGATAATATAGAGTAACTGATAACTTGATCAAATGTCTCCATCAGATAAAAACATAATATACAAAACAATACAAAAACCCGCAAACTGTTCTATCCACCTACCTGTTATTTTCTCAGCAGCCCACAGTCTTCCAGCTGTCTCAAGAACCCAGGCTTCTGAGCTGTCTGCTATGAGGAAGCTGTTGTGGAAACACCATCCATTTTTGCCTGGCTCATCAGTACATGGCCCACCCTGGCCTGGGTTTTCTAGCAATGTGGTGAGGATGTTCAGTGCCTCGGATGCTGAGGAAGCCCTCTCTAGGCTCAGCCTACAACATACAGAAACAATGGGTGAATTATGTCAGCCTACAACATACAGGAACAATGGATGAATTACAATGTCAGCCAACAACATACAGGAACAATGGATGAATTACAATGTCAGCCTACAACATACAGGAACAATGGATGAATTACAATGTCAGCCAACAACATACAGGAACAATGGATGAATTACAATGTCAGCCTACAACATACAGGAACAATGGATGAATTACAATGTCAGCCTACAACATACAGGAACAATGGATGAATTACAATGTCAGCCTACAACATAAGGGACAATGGCTGAATTACTATGACAGCTATTAACATACAAGGAAATTGGGTGGTACCCTCTGATATACAGGCTGAAATGAGTTTTCTTTATAAATGTACAGCTTTAGCTTAGCCAAATAGATTGCAAGACAAGTGAAATAAAGTGCGACTACTCTATTATTATACTGCATCTTTTTTCTTTTTTTACTGACATAAGTACACTTGTTTGATGTAATATTCTATGACTCTAGTAGGTGCATATATTGTAAATAAAGAACAACTATTATATCTTGTTGATTTAACAAAAAGTGTACACACATCAATAAGATTTCATTGAAAACATGTTACCTGACTAGGTCAGTTCCAAGAAGTTTTTTCTCTAAATCTTCTGGTCCATTTAATTTGGTCCAAACTGGTGCATTCCCAACAGCCACACCCTTGTCATTAGCTCCCATCTCTGCCCCCCACATCCATGAGGGTTTACTCAAGATGACAGCATTTGTGTGTCCTACTTGATCCAGCTCAATGTAAGTACACTACAACATACACAAATGGATTGATACAACTACACTACACCAAACAAAATAGATTAATACAACTACACTACACCATACACAATAGATTAATACAACTAAACTATGCCATACACAAATAGATTAATACAGCTACGCTACACCATAAACAAATAGATTAATAGTTACACTTCACCATACACAGATTTATACAGCTACATTACACCATAAACAAATAGATTTGTACAACTACAGTACACCATACACAAATAGATTAATACAGCTACGCTACACCATAAACAAATAGATTAATAGTTACACTTCACCATACACAGATTTATACAGCTACATTACACCATAAACAAATAGATTTGTACAACTACAGTACACCATACACAAATAGATTAATACAGCTACACTACAATATACACAAATAGATTGATACAACTAAAATACACCATAAACAAATAGATTGATACAGCTACTCTACAACATACACAAATAGATTGATACAACTACAGTAAACAATACACAAATAGATTGATACAATTACACTACAATATACATGAATATATAAATATATACACAAATATACACTAACACTGCAAAATAAACATCAATATAAAAACACTAGAACACTAATATATCAACACAAGAACATGAGAAATTGAGATGGAGTTGCACTGTAACTTGAATATCTCACATACTGATCATGGACTAAACTCCTAAGGCATCCTTAATCCGGCAACTCAAGTTAAGAGAACTTAAGGCTGACCACACTATCCCTTCATATGCCTAGGCCAGGGAAAATCTACTTCACCTGCCCTATCTACTGTCATGCTTAAATCCAAAAAGAAATCAAAACAAGAACAATACAACATACAAAATATAACAGTATAATAAAACTAAAACGTCTACATTTGTTCAGTGAAAATGCCTCCAGTACACATAAGTAAAGAGAATGCATTAACTTTGTTTCTTACAAAACTTACAATTTGTAAGATTAGTCCATTAAAAGAAAAAAAATTATCTTGGTCATCTTGAGACTACCAGTAAAAATCATCTACTCAACTGCTCAATGTAACTGCCTGTCATATATTAAATGAAAAATAAAACTACCTTGACTTTTTCACCATCAGGGTAATCTTTGGGTGGACAGTATATGACATCTTGCACTTCTGAAGCTGGTCTGTTGGAGTTCTTCCCAAACACAACAGCATTATGGGAGGTCACAGGGGGCAGCACCACAAATAAATCAGCCATTATCCTTGCTGAAAGCAGAAATTATTAACATATTTTACACATTTGAAAAGATGGTTATTGTTATACAACCATCTTCATTGGATGTTAGTTCTTTATTTCTTATTTGAGGTGAGCTCTGAGAGGTATTTTTAGCTACACATGGAAATAATGTAAAACCAAGACATTTGGTTGTATTAGAAAAATAGTTACTAAATAATATTTCTAGCAACTTTGATATGTGTATATTCCTCGTTATTTTCAGATCTATTGGTTATTTTTTTATAATCGTTAGATTATAGTAATCTTGTCATAAACAATTCAGAACCTTGGTTCCAATAAATAAAGCAGGCTTACAAATCAGCACTAGATCAAGTTTTTTCTACAGGTTTCACAGTGTGTGCTATAAAAATTATTTTCTTTATTTTGAATTGTAACTTTTGCGGGGGTTCCTCAAACTCAACTAAGCTTCAGTTAAGAAAGTGAACATGACTATGGCTTTGAAATTGGCATATGGAAATGTAGCATTGACCATCCTGGTCCAACTACAGAGAAGAATAGGCACCACCAATGCGGATGTACTGAGGCATTACTTCATTGTCACTCCCTTTTGGGAAGGCCTGAGGTTAAGGAATGTGACGTTATATATTTTGTATTTATGTGAAAATTAAAATGACAGAATTGTGCACAATTGAGGGACTTAAGCTTATAGTAACTTGAGGGGTAGAGTGTTTGTAGGTTAGGTGGGAGGGGCACAAAATAAGTCATCATTTACTGCGTTGACAAAACTATGCTTAAGATGACAAGTCCCTTTGAATCTACTAAGTCTCATGAACCTATGGCCTAGTCCTACGCCCATGTGTCTTGCTGGCTCTGATGGGGGTTTGCTTGTGATGTTGCGCCCATTTGAGTCTACCTAGCTTAGACTTAGGTAGACTTCAGCTCGTAAACACAGTGACAGGTCTCGAGTCTTGAATTTTTTTTTTATTGAACCTAGTTTTCTCTAGATCTAGAATTGACTGGACTGACTCTAGTAGTCTAGCCTAGCTAGATCTAACTATAATTAATTTAATAACTTACTTAGCCTAAATTCTTCTTCTTCTTCGTTCTTAATTGAGAATATGGTGGAGGATTTAGACAACAAGTCCAACTTTGTGAATAAACCGGACTGTGGTCTCCAGATCAGCAGGTGCCCCATATAATTTTTCCCTGAGTGGATTGAGCAGGGGCCAGTGTCTGACTCGCGCCTGGCTATATAAAGAACATTCCTGGAGGACGTGCTCCGTATTTTCCGAGGCCATACCACAAGGGCATATTTCGCCACACCCAATTTTTTAGTTTTTTATGCATGTGTTGATTTAGTCTGTTATGGCCTGCTCTAAGTCGAAAGATTATGTATTGTTGTTTTCGTGTCAAATTATAATATCCATCATCTTTGTTGTAGTGAGGGTGTGTGTCAGACCACATTTGCGGTTGTTTGTTTTTTATTATTCTTTTTATTTCTTTTGGGTGTAGCGAGATTTCCACCAAATTTTGCCAGCTGGTCTGCGATCTCGTTACCCTGGATCTGGCAGTGGCCTGGGATCCACTGCAGCACAATTCTGCTGCAGGTATTTATTAGCCTTTCTAGTGCTGTCCTAAGTGATTGAGTATAGGACTCTGGATTTTTTAGGGATTGCAGGACAGATTTGGCATCTGTAAGAAATACTATCTGACTATTTGGAGATTCAGGGTGTTCTGACAGGAGGTTTGCTGCATGCTCTAAAGCTTCTTTTTCTGCCCTAAAATTGTCGGATAGGCTGCCTGTGGCTATTGACTGTTCCAGGCTTTCTCCGCTTGGCCATTCAATAAGGACGCCAGCCCCTCCATTTTTTGTGGCATCTTCAGCTGAGCCATCTGTGAATACTCTAATTCAGGTATTGCTGGGGTACTGATCCTTAATGTGTTTATTTGTTATTTTCTTTAGTTCTTCTTGATCATAGTCAGATTTTTTTTCTATGGTGTCTATTGAGTCACTAATGGTTAAATGACAGTGGTGATCCAAGGCGGGTAGAGGTTTTGAGTTTTGATTGCTTCAGGAATGATGTTTTCAATTTCATATTTCTTTTTTAGATTCTTTGCTTCTTTGATGAAACATTTATTAATATAGAATATACTTGAATATAATATAGACTAGATCTATTAAAATCTAGATTCTCTAGATCTAGTAGAGATCTAAGTTTTAATAGATCTATAGGCCTATTTAATAATACCGGCTAAGTCTAAGAGTAAGACTAAGCACTAAGAGTCTAAGACTAAGAGTAAGAACTAAGAAGAACTTATTAATATTCAGTTATTAACTTATTACTAAAATATTAGGCCCTACTTAATACTTATTATTTTAAGACTGAAGAGTGAAGAAGATTAGTTAGACTAGAAGAATAAGAAGATTGCTTCAGTTTTATTTTTAAATCATCAGTCTCAGTAGGCCCTAATTGTTAATTATTAATTAATTAGACTAATTAGTAGAAAACGAATAGAATTAACCTTTGGGTCCTTTGCCTAATAAATATTAGATCTCTATATCGTATTTCTGGAGCAGAGTTGTCTAGAAACACTGGAATCTATAATGATTTTTAATGTTGCAGACTATGGTGGAATGAGAGTGAGTGGAATCACTTGATTTCTTCGATTAATCAAGGGATGCCACTGTTATTTAATGCCCCTTTCTTAGCCCGAGAGCATTACCTTTTCCTGAAACGATTTGCAAAATTGAAAGCGAAACAAGGGAAGGGACTTCACTGTGAAATACTTTTTAGGTTCTGCTGTAGAATACTTAGTCTTAGTAAGTTAGTAACATACATACAACAATAGATCTAGATCTATTTAATATTTAATTTAAGTTCATACACATTTATCTATTAATTATAATTTAGGTAAAAATTTAGAGAAAACCCTTGATATTTCATAGTATCCGCCGCCAACCAATCAAACGCGCGCTTTCAGCGCGTTTTGGTTGGCGGCTGACGTCACGATGACGTCACGCGACCCGTAAACACGGCGTTTTTGGAGCTAAAAAGGGCCGAAAAAGCCATTTTTTCTACGTGTAGTTCGGATTTTTTTACGTTTTTTAAAATGGGCCCGAAAATGACCCTTTTTAGAAATGGACATAGCCATTTTTTCGAAGAATTAATTTAAAAAAGGGCTGTTTTGAGCTATGTTTCCATGTAAACAAAGGCCCATGTCAACACGTGTCAAACCACGTGAAGGCACCCGATCGACGATTTCGGTCACGCATGAGTGGTTTTCGTACGTTCTCGTGAACTAAATACCAGTTTCTTGACAACAAATTGGAAAACGACAATTTCGTGAAAATAACGACCCTAGCCTAGAGGAATGGCTTTTGAAGATTATTAAATAAAAATCGATGTATTGGCTACATGTGTTGATTCTAAAGTTGTCTAGCCTATAATTGACTAGTAGGGCATGCTGAAACAACGGCCTTAGGGCGCCGTGTAGTGTGTAGTTTCGCCGCTAAATGTAAATTAATCAGCCCGGCCGCAGATCGACCGCAAACTGTTAAGTTGGTTGAATGTGAAAAGCATACTACTTACAAATTACTTTTGAATATTCACATCACACAAAATAATCCCAAAGAAAGCACAAAATAAAATCCGTTAGAAAAGCATCACCATGAAATTTGAAAACCACAGTATGTCAACCTTAACCAGCCATCTTTGGCTCGATCTAGATCTAGAGGTCATTCTTTAGCCTACACATGTGCCTTGTCAACCAATTTAGTTTCTGACGGTACACGACATTTAGATCAATATATTAATTAACAAACTAACTGAATTCCAACATTCTATCACTCTAATCCTAAAATGAAACAGAATTTGAAGCACAATGATCTAACGAATAAATCCCACTCTAAGTAAGTGTCGCAGCTTTAATCCTGGATAGAACCATAGTGTGTAGTCGTGTTGTGAGTAAACTTGCACGAGATAAAACGCCGACCTAGACCTTCCTGATGTGTATGGCCCCAAAGTTAAATGCTGGGAGTAGGGGAGGGGAATTTAACACCAGAATAGATTTTTTTTCAATAGTTTAGTAGTTCACGCATCCTAACGGGGTTGAAAGTGTAACTTTATTATATTCAACTAGGCAAAAGGTGGAGGGTGGGGTCATTTAAACGACGGAGCTATATTTGTAGTCCACGAATACGGGGAAGCCGGTATTTGAAGCCGGCATTTCATTATCGTCATTGCTATTGAGTACAACCCTTTATTCTAGTTTAATGCTCGACTAAGCTACTCATTACGAAATCTAAAAAATGCCGTAGTGCTACCATGCAAAAGTAGCCTAATATTTCTACTGAATGGGGTAGGTATTTGACTGTGTTTATTTAAATGCAGATCCCGTTAGCCTAAAAATATTTGGATACACATTTTAGTTATATAGTAAGGATTAATTTTATAATACAATGCATATATTCTGGTAGTCCTTCAAGTATTAGTAGTTATTGGACTATCCATAACTTGTATTTCAAAGATTTATAATGAGCGGGATGCACTCGATGTTTTAAGTGCTACATTCGGTAGCTGTTACTTTGTGCATGACAACATCCCAATAGTTCACTGTTAATAATGTAACCTGAGCTTGACGAGACTCCCATCGCCAAGCAATCGTATGATAGACCCAGCAAGCATCACTCGTTAAATTCGACATGACTATACCAGTCCTTGATTTTCATTACTGCCTTGAAACGCATAGTTCTTGGTTTAAAAAAAAAAACGTCTTCCCCCCCCCCCACCCCTTCCCGCTAGCGCCGACGTCATCATAAGCCAATACCACGGTGCATTTTTTTTTCACCGAGTATAACACACACCTCTCTCCCCCTCACAGCAAGCGCCAACAACGGTCGCCCAAGGCCAATAACACGCACCACGGTGGATTTTTTTTTCACCCACCCGCCGCCTTACAGCATACCGCTAGTCTTTACAAACGGGGTTACAAGTTTAACTTTGAGTTCAAGAAGGGGAGAGGGTGGTATTGAAACAACGATGTTCTTTAATAATATGTTTAATAGTACAAATACATAGTAAGAAATTATACTTACCTACTTCTATAGCATCATACATAATTTTATAATTAGCAAATTAATTAATTAATTAAGTCTAATGATAATGAAGGGAGATAGTTTATTTTGGTTAAGGCACGACACACAACACTATGCGTGCGTGGTATGTGGCCTGACCGACCGAAAGGAGATTGTTTATATTATTGTTTTGAGTTTATATTTAACTCAATGCAACGAGCCCGCCGGTTGGCTGAGGCCACGCCGGGGGGACGATCTGTCCGGGATTCAAAGGGTCGATTCTAAATATCATCCATAATTTATATTAGAGTCTAGATCTCTATATTAACTTTATTAGTTATTAGACTAGATTCTACCTAAATAAATTGTCTAGAGTCTAGGTACTAGGTAGAATTATAGGTAATCTATCGTTTTGGGTACGTAAAATCGCCCGCGATTTGTAATGTGAAAAACAGGTGACTCCTTAAGTTTTAATAATTATTTCACATTTTGAGGAGGATTTATGTTTTAAAAAATTCAAAAATGTTTCCTTGATTCATTTATGTACCTGTTTTTAAACAATTGAATTAAAACTATTCCGTAATAAATGAAGACTAGCGATGTTTCCAACAGATGCAACCATGCTCATCTACTATAGCAGCCATCTTGTCTAAGTTTTATTTTTATAAGCTTTTAGCGCCAGATTCAGGGGGAAGCCACTCTATTTTACAAATGGCTGCTGTTTATATAGCAAATCTTGCTCTCAGACACTGCTGTTTAAAGTTAATTTCTGGCCTATATCGATATATTTAGCCATTGATTTAGGTTTATTATTCATTTATCTATAATATTTGACACAAAAGTATGACAATATACTTCTATTAAAGCCTTGACAATGAGGTAACGTTTTCGTACATAAATAGCCGCGGGCGATTTTACGTACCCAAAACGATAGATTACCGAATTATAGAATACCCACAAGTTTATGGTTATTTTAAGCAACATTTTAAAAATTAAATTAAGGCAAGTACTCTGTACTGTAGGCCTATCCTATCCTATTAAGATTTTATTTATTATTTAATGTTTTGATTTTAATTTTTTAGCGCAATTTCCATACGGACAATTGCGATTATTAACTCGTCAAGGATGTGTGTGCGATGTATGTCCGCAGCTTTAAGTGGTATCTCCTCCTCAACGAAGCAATATCGAGGACTAGTTCCAAAGCAAATATGTTAAGCAAGTTCCGAGGATGATTGTGGGCCAAAAAATTTCTGGGAATTCCTTCCTGGATTTCCCGGAAAAGCCAAAAAACCTCGAAAAAATACAGTTTTTGGCCCATATCTCGGCAACCAGACCACTTAGTGACTTGAAACATTTACCAATCGATTCCTGCCATAATTTAGAACAATATTGCCGAAGAAAGTTTTCGAAAATATCCTTTAGTTCGGTCACAAAAAATTAATTAAGGAAATTGCGCTTAAATTGTCACTAGACTTGTTATTAACTTGTTATAGTAGTTATTAATAAGTAACATATTAATAATAAAAAATCAGTTTAGTAAAAGTTTAGTTTAGTTAGTTCCCAGTAGTCTAGTACTAGATTCTAGTAGTAGTACTGACCACTGTTGAACTGTTAGTTTTCTGTTAGGTTGGTGTACTGTTAGCTATCGGCTCATAGAATCTAGAATCTAGTCCCTCAGAATCAGAGTTAACCATCTATTCTCAATCTCACTGACAGATTGTATAGTACAGTACTGTGAGTAGTCTGAACTGTTGTTAGTTACTTGATTTCTTTAATCTAACTCAAGTGTTGGAGTGTAGTCATAACAATAGGCTACAATTCAATAAATTAATAATATTATTATTACCATCTAAGTGTATCATTATTTAATATTTATAGGCCTTTTTAAGTTAAACATTAAGCTTTTCTCCAGTTATGTAAGGGATTTTTTTTTATTTTGAAATATCCAATGCAATTTAAATGATGTTTGTACTCTCTTGTTGAAAACTGTTCAATCAAGTATCTGATATCTGCAACTACTTTCACACAGACACGCAGACAAAAGAAGTCCAAATACTTTAACGTGTAATCTAAATGTTACGTTTGAATTTTGAAGGTCTTGGAGAGCCATGATTAGTGATGATGTGGTCAAATGTTAGAACTTTTGTTCGGTAACCTGAAAGACTCAAGTTCAGGTCCCGGGCTCAAGTCTGTAGGATGTCCCTGGGTCCACCCAACTCTGATGGGTACCTGACTCATGTTAGGGATGCAAAGGTGGCTGAGCATCAAATTGACCACACTATCCCCTTGTATGGAAAAGTCATTTAAAATTTAAACAGATGAACTCTACTTCCTCTGCCCCAGGTGTCTTTAGTACAAGCAGGGAAAAGATGATGATGATAATTAACTTTTTAAGAACAACATTCCAAGCCAAGTTTGTAAAGCTGTTTTTTTTTTCTGGTGGGAGTTGGCAACCCCTGAGAAAACCCATGGCAACCCGCTTGGGGGACAAGACCCACAGGTTGAGAACCCATGCCCTTCTAGATCTAGTGCTAGTTAGTTCTTCATAGTAACTAGTACAGATAGAGACTACGTATACTTCTCCATAGAGGAGGGTGTGTGAAACTTTTGGGGCATGCAGGATGGCTGATAATAGTTAAAGTTAAAGTAGGCTGTTTTGTCCAAGATGACGGAAAAAACACCTGATAATAATAAAATGTTTGGGTCATGTAGTAACGTGTCAGTGCTCTTTTGATAAGCGCTAGAGGAACTTGGACATTAACAGTTAATTTTGTTGGAGAATCCCAATTGCTGTCTAAAACACATTACACATCAATGTTTTAATTTTTATTAAAATCTTAGAGGGTTACTAGTAAAGCAAGCAGTGTTCATTTTTACAAAATTGTGTTCAGTTCTCCACATTTGGACATAGTAGGGTGCAAAAAAGCAACATGTGCAGTGATTGGTCATTTAGTGCCTAATCTCAAACTCTAGTTATATATTATGTACACTAGCAAACAGAGAAGATTTCTGAAATTACCTGCCAGACTTACAATTTTCTGCAGCATTGTAAAGAATTAGCAATGATAATCAATATTTTTAATCAGATTTTGATTTGAGATGGTTACATTTTTTTTTCTAATAGTAAGTGACATTACGTCTTACTATAAATAAATACCAAGCCAAGCATTACACATCTAATATTTTCAAGGTAAAGTAATCAGTATTTTTTATCTATATTTTAGAATATGACAGACAGAGACCCCATAAGTAGCTACCCTGGGGTAGAGGACTATATAGATTTCGCTGAGTCCTTGAAATCCAGGTTGACTAAGCTTGTGAATATTCAAGGGACTTCAAAATTACAGAAGAAAATCAATGCAGAAATAAAGTTTTTAAACTCAGTAAGTTTTTATATGAATTCTACTTACATTTTTAAAATTTCATTACAAGTATTAACCTTAAGTCTATGATTAAAATGTCAAATTGTATGTAATAATATTAGTTTTAATTTAAAAAAAAGTAATTTCTCACAGAATCAATATTAACTTACGGTTATTTTTTTTATTATGTAAATAATTTAAAGAGTTATTTCCCTTTCAATACCATACAAAAATATCACAAGAGCAAATTAATATGCTGGTGACTATTTTCTGTCATTAAATTTAAAGAAAATTGTTATTGTTATAATGTTGTTGATGTTGCTTGTACCTAATCTCTGAGGCTGTTTGTTATTATAATCACGTTTTGTGTGTGTGTGTGTGGGGGGGGGGGGTTGTTGTCCAGTTGCTAACTATTGTTAAAGAGCAACACATGAACTCAGTGCTTCCCTTTCTTTGGTGCTATGTTGGGAAATGATCATGTAAGCTAAGGTTTCATTACTTTAATGACATTACTTGTTTTGTTGAATTTGCTAAATACATTATAACTTAATTTAATAATTTTTTTGTTAACGGTGATAAAAGTAAGCACAGCTTAAAATAGTAGATGTACTGTGTTATGTTATAAAGAAAGCCCATGTTAAGATAGCAAGTGCTTTGTGTTTGTTAGAATAATAGAAACACATGTAAAGACAGCAAATGTTCTGTGTTTTAACTGCTGTAAAAGTAAGCACAGTACGGGTTCTGCATTTCTCTGGAAAATCTATTTTAAAGTCTGGTCCAGGATTAGGGTTGTATTGATTGGCTGACACTTGTTCCAGTCTTCTCGCCAGTCAGTGGTCTGAGTCTCACTATAGGCCAGTTTGTGTCTTGAATTGGGTCTCACTATAGGCCAGTTTGTGTTGGTCTGAGTCTCACTATAGGCCAGTTTGTGTTGGTCTGAGTCTCACTATAGGCCAGTTTGTGTTGGTCTGAGTCTCACTATAGGCCAGCTTGTGTTGGTCTGAGTCTCACTATAGGCCAGCTTGTGTTGGTCTGAGTCTCACTATAGGCCAGCTTGTGTTGGTCTGAGTCTCACTATAGGCCAGATTGTGTCTTTAATTGGGTCTCACTATAGGCCAGCTTGTGTTGGACTGGGTCTCACTATAGGCCAGCTTGTGTTGGTCTCACTATAGGCCAGCTTGTGTTGGTCTGAGTCTCACTATAGGCCAGCTTGTGTTGGACTGGGTCTCACTATAGGCCAGCTTGTGTTGGTCTGAGTCTCACTATAGGCCAGCTTGTGTTGGACTGGGTCTCACTATAGGCCAGCTTGTGTTGGACTGGGTCTCACTATAGGCCAGCTTGTGTTGGACTGGGTCTCACTATAGGCCGGCTTGTGTTGGTCTCACTATAGGCCAGCTTGTGTTGGTCTCACTATAGGCCAGCTTGTGTTGGTCTCACTATAGGCCAGCTTGTGTTGGTCTCACTATAGGCCAGCTTGTGTCTTGGTCTGAGTCTCACTATAGGCCGGCTTGTGTTGGTCTCACTATAGGCCAGCTTGTGTTGGTCTCACTATAGGCCATCTTGTGTTGGTCTCACTATAGGCCAGCTTGTGTTGGTCTCACTATAGGCCAGCTTGTGTTGGTCTCACTATAGGCCAGCTTGTGTTGGACTGGGTCTCACTATAGGCCAGCTTGTGTCTTGGTCTGAGTCTCACTATAGGCCAGCTTGTGTTGGTCTCACTATAGGCCAGCTTGTGTTGGTCTCACTATAGGCCAGCTTGTGTTGGTCTCACTATAGGCCGGCTTGTGTTGGTCTCACTATAGGCCAGCTTGTGTTGGTCTCACTATAGGCCAGCTTGTGTTGGTCTCACTATAGGCCAGCTTGTGTCTTGGTCTGAGTCTCACTATAGGCCGGCTTGTGTTGGTCTCACTATAGGCCAGCTTGTGTTGGTCTCACTATAGGCCAGCTTGTGTTGGTCTCACTATAGGCCAGCTTGTGTTGGTCTCACTATAGGCTAGCTTGTGTCTTGGTCTGAGTCTCACTATAGGCCAGCTTGTGTTGGTCTGGGTCTCACTATAGGCCAGCTTCTGTCTGATTGAGTCTCACTATAGGCCAGCTTGTGTTGGTCTCACTATAGGCCAGCTTGTGTCTTGGTCTGAGTCTCACTATAGGCCGGCTTGTGTAATGAATTGGGTCTCACTATAGGCCGGCTTTATCAAGTTTATGTCTTGTTAAACTACTGGCTATCTATAAATCCCACGTCTTTTTAGGTTAACCACGGGCTGTATATCAAGCTCGTGTGTTATTGAAACTGTCTATATATCAAGCCCATGTCTTATTGAAACTGACTGTATATCAAGCTCGTGTGTTATTGAAACTGGCTATATATCAAGCCCGTGTGTTATTGAAACTAACCACTGGCTTTATATCAATCCCATTTGTTATTGCAACTGGCTATATATCAAGCCCATGTGTTATTGCAACTAGCTACAGGCTACAACACAAGCCACTCAGTTGTATGCTGGTTGTTTTATCATGGATGATTCGTGCCTCTACACTGATTGCCCACTGTCTCCTCATGCTTGCTAGTTTTTGCCTGTCAAACTTGAAACTTATCCGGGGAAGCAACTCGAGTCAACCGTGTGTTATCATCCAGTTGACCAACTTCCCCCGATTAGATATGAGCTGAAGATGTCGTTAATCACTTATCTTTCTACTGGCCGGTCATCGCCCGTCGTTTGTGGTGAGTGGCCCCTCGACTCCGGTGGCCTGTTTGGTCATATAGTGGCCACTGTTTGTCCTTCGTATTTGATGGCCACTGTATGTCAAGTGTATTTAGTGGCCGGCTGCCTATGCCTGGTACTGTATAATTATCCAATGCCTGTTAGTGAACAACGTTTCACTATGTTGGGTGAGATATACAGATATTATTTTTTTTAATTTACAAAAAGCAAATCTTGCAATCAAGTTGTATTTATCAAATTCAAATCTGACCAACCTTACTGGTCAAAACTCGCCCAAAAGCAACAGCATGCTGACACCATTAACTGCACCGACTCCCCCCCCCCCCCCACCACCCATCGATTTATGTCAATACGCCAATTACATTTTCATTAAAACTGTTTTGTTTCGGTGAGCTCCCAACCCCTGCACCAAACAGCACACAGCGCGCGCCTGCTCGTGAAGAATTGGCCAATCAGACAGCCAATTTACTCGAGCATTTGGCAAGGACTTAGTTCTAATGTCAGACTCCAACGAACCAGTGGGCTGACTCGAAGGATGAAAGATCGACATATTGTTTGTGGTCTAGAGAGAAAATTGCAATTAATATTCAACAGCTGTCTGAAAATAGACATTTTTGCGTGACTGCGTTATGGCAGCATAAAATATGATTATCAAGTTAAATATGGGACTTCATAATTTGTCATACATATTGTTATATATGTGACTACATTTGTCAAACATAACATATATTGTCATCTAGTTGACTTCGTTTGTCAAACACATGGTTGTAGATTTTATATATCTGACTGTATGTTCGTCAATCATACTAATGAAGTGGTGGCTTTCTACTTGTATTAAATGACTTAAAAAAGACCAGATGCTGCTGCATTATGTATCTTCATTCGTCTTTTATAAACGTGTTTGTCTTCTGTTGTTTTTTATCAACCAAATACACTGTTTCTCTACACCTCGTCTATTTTATGGCAATGTTTCTACAGCTTTATCTGGCTACCGCGGCTCTCTGCTCCGACTGGCAGCATCAGCCAGCTGCTTGCATTATTTATACCCTGTTATGGTTTGGCAAATCTCTCACAATGCGACTTCACTTCTCTAGATTGGTACGCCACACCTTCTGGACATTTCCCTGCTATTGATTTTTGGACGTCCAGGGGCCAGGGACACTCTGGTCTGGTACCACAGCGGCCCTTGTTCTAGAGCTCGGTGATGGATTTGACACGAAAGCTTGAGCCTTTCTTCGGCTCATCATCTAATTTGATCAACCATGGGGGCGTGTCATCGCTTGTGTTTGTCAACATAAAGGTGGGCTGGCTAAAGTTGGGGCGTGCTTCCGCCTACTTTGTTTTATTTAAAAGAAACCCACCAAAATACAGGGATTTTGAAAGATACTATCGTGTATAATATATGATTGTAAAAAAAACAACAACTAACAACTGAAATGCCGCTATGGGAATATGTTGTAATGATATGATATCTATTATTAGAAAAGCATTGTTGAAAATGCACCTGTTATTATATCGACATTTTGTTTAGTTTGCATGATTCATATCAGAACTAAATCATCAGCTTTTACCTAACTATTCGGAACAACGTATCTGAAAACTTCCGGTTTGAATATTCCGTGTGAATATTACTGAGATACCATACGATCGTTTTCAGATAATTTTCTTAAGCCTTCCGGGTAGATGAAAGGGGAGATTGCTCACGTTATATTCATGGCGCGTCTCGTAGTTAGGTTGTCGTGTGGACTTTGTGTGAGCTAACTGTGTGTGGATGTGGTGTGGACTTTGTGGGGGCTGTGTGTGGATGTTGTGTGGACTTTGTGGCAGCTAACTGTTGTGTGTATGTGGTGTGGACTTCGTGGGGGATAACTGTTGTGTGGATGTGGTGTGGATGTGATGTGGACTATGTGGGGGCTGTGAATGGATGTGGTGTGGACTTTGTGGCAGCTAACTGTTGTGTGTATGTGGTGTGGACTTCGTGGGGGATAACTGTTGTGTGGATGTGGTGTAAGATTACTGTTGTGTGGATGTTATGTGAGGTTACTGTTGTGTGGATGTTGTGTGGATGTTGTGTGAGGTTACTGTTGTGTGGATGTTGTGTGAGGTTACTGTAGTGTGGATGTTGTGTGGATGTTGTGTGAGGTTACTGTTGTGTGGATGTTGTGTGAGGTTACTGTTGTGTGGATGTTGTGTGAGGTTACTGTTGTGTGGATGTTGTGTGGATGTTGTGTGAGGTTACTGTTGTGTGGATGTTGTGTGAGGTTACTGTTGTGTGGATGTTGTGTGAGGTTACTGTTG